CATCTCCAACTACTCACCCTCACCCCCCCCCCCCCCCCCCCACCTCGCTCCTCTGCAGGTCGCCACGCAGGGCTTCACCTCTGCGGCCAAGGCCTTTGCTGGCCCGCCGTTCTCGGAGGCATCGGCAGACAAGGCTGTGGTGCCGGATGGGCCTAAGCTCCGTCAGTTTGATGTGTATCGGTTCAACCCGGACACCGACGAGGACGGCGCCACCGTCACCTACACCGTCGACCTCAACGACTGCGGACCGATGGTGCTGGACGTAATTCTCAAGATCAAGGATACCCAGGACTCGTCGCTGGCCTTCCGTCGCTCCTGCCGTGAGGGCATCTGTGGCTCGTGCGCCATGAACATCGATGGGAAGAACACCCTCGCCTGCCTCTGCCCCGCCGACAACGGCAAGTCGAAGATGACCATCCTCCCGCTGCCGCACCTGTATGTGGTCAAGGACCTCGTCGGCGACCTCTCAGGCATCTACGAGCAGTACGACTCGATCGAGCCGTGGATCCAGGGCGACATCCCGGACTCGGCCTACCACATCGGCCCCAACGGCGAGAAGCGCGAGCTTCTCCAGTCGCAGGCCGACCGCGCCAAGCTCGACGGCCTCTACGAGTGCATTCTCTGCTTTTGCTGCTCCACTTCGTGCCCCTCGTACTGGTGGAACCCGGACAAGTACCTCGGCCCGTCCATCCTTCTCCAGGCCTACCGCTGGATCGCCGACTCGCGCGACCACGCCACCGAGAAGCGTCTCGACTTCCTCAACGACCCGTTCAAGCTCTACCGCTGCCACCAGATCATGAACTGCGCCGACGCCTGCCCCAAGGGCCTCAACCCGGGCGCCGCCATCGCCAAGGCCAAGCAGCTTGTCGCCCAGCGCGCCGCCACCGCCTAATCCCCCCCCCCCCCTACGATCTCGATCTAAAATCCGATGTCCTCCTCCCCCCGGCTCCTCTCCATTCCCCATTCCCGCTCTGGCCGCCGTCTCCCGTGAGCATCCGTCACGTGCCAGCCGACTCGCTCGCGGCCGCGCACGCTACTCCGGCACCCACGGCTCTCCCACCTTTTATCGATGGCGAGCGGCCGCCAGAGTCCTCCGTCGGGCTCTCGGCTCGGTGTGGGCTTTGTCACTCTCTGTGGAGTCTTCTTCGCCGCTACAGTGGCGTCGACGGTGTTGGGCAAGAAGGGCAACGTGGCGGTGCCGGTCTTCCCGCTCGCGCTCTCGGCTCTCACCGCTCTCGCGGGCGTCGCCGTCTATCCGCTCCTCTTTCTGGGAATTCTTCTCGCCGATTCGCGCGTTGACCTGCCCGCGCGCTTCCTTCACCGACGCGGCATGCTCTCGCTGCCATCGTATGCGCTGCCGGCGACTGTCGGTGCGCTCTTTGCCGCACACAACGTTCTTGCCAATCTCGGCGCGCGCGGCAACGTTGTCCCCGGCCCACTCGTTGCCATCCTCTCCAAGCTCGTTGTGCCGTTCTCGATGAGCATGGAGGCATGCGCAAAGGCGCTCGGCTATCACCATCTCTACTCGCGGATCTCCGTGGCCCGCCTCCTCGCCGTTGTTCTGCTCTTTGCCGGCGTCGCTCTCTCGGTCTTCGGGCCCGAGGGCAAGTCGTTTGCCGCAGCGTCGGGCGCGTCCACAGCAGCGTACGTGACCCAAGTCGCCTTTCTCGTCACCGCAGACATTCCACTCGCTCTTGGCATCCTCGTCGTCCGCCAGTTCTACAAGGCTGCCGCTGATGCCGCGGTCCCGAGCGGGCACGGCGTCACCCACGAGCTCGTCTTCTGGTGGTGGGTCTCGCTTTTCGAGCTCCCCTGGGTCATCGTCCTCGCTCCGCTCAGCGCTTACCTGCAAGACTTTCCGATGGCCTCGCTTGGCCGCAACGCTCGCGATGGGCTGGCGTGCTGGGTCGGCGGGGTGGACCCGTCGCTGGCGTCGCTGGATTCCTACGCCAAGTCGACGGCCTCGGTCGACTGCGGCTACGGCTCCAAGATGTTCTACGCCTCGCTTGTGGCCGGCTTTGCCTTTAACGTCTGCATGCCGCTTCTCGCTGTCCGCGCCTCGACAACCACGCTGTTGTGGATCCTGCGCGCGGCGGCGCTCCCGTTCGCCGTCCTCGCCTTTTCGCTCCACATTGTCATGGGCACACACGCTACCCCGCTTCATCCATGGGGTCTTGTTGGCCTCGCCCTCGTCCTCGTTGCACTGCTCGTCTTCACCTATTCGCCGCGACAGCCAGCAGCCAGCGATAGCACCGTCGAGGTCGGAGACGCGGAGGCGGTCGCCAGCGTCGCGCTCCTCGGTGACCGCTCGGTCCAGCGATTCGAATAAAGTTCAACATCAAAGGAGTGTGTTACCATGTGTGTATACTATAGCAGCCCAAACGGGTCCATGACAGACGCCGGCAACGCCGCCGCCGTGGGCAGAGCACGAAGAGGCGCCTTGTGTGCCGGGAGGCTTGCTGCTGCTGCTGCAGCAGCGGCGGCGGCAGCAGCCGTCTCGCAGGCAGTAGCGCCTGCAACCAGCTCCCACGGCATCTTGCGCGGCATCTTGCGGGTTCGACGGCCTCGTGACGAGCGATTCAGAACCTCGTCGTCGAGGCGGTCGAGCGCCGAGACCGGGCGCTTGCGAACCGGCTGCGCAGGTTGGACTTCGGCGGCGCGGCGGCGCTTGCGCGGCGGAAGGAGCGAGGCCAGCGGGAGCTGCGGCCAGTCATCGATGCCAAAGGTTGAGAGCTGCGGCAGGCTGAGCATGTCTGACGACGGGCTCAGCTCTGCGCTCTGGGTGCCCATCGGCGTGTTGTCGAGCGGCGGCGCAAAGTCCAGCGGCTCGGGCGTGAGCAGACGGATCGGCTCAGTGGCTGGGCCGGCGTCGACCAGCTCGCGCCACGGCAGCGGCGACGGCGAGCGGAGTCGTGCCGAGTTGGCACCCAGCTCGAGCTCGAGCCCGAGTCCGGCGCTGGGCCCACCAGTCGCAACAGTTCCTGCAGCGTTGGCACAGTGCTCAGGAGTGTGTGACTTGGAGTTGGGTAGCCGCGACGAGGCCGAGACCGGCGGCGGCGACGATGTAAGATGCGATGTCGACGCAGGCGTTGACGGGACTGAGGGTGTGGCCACCGAGCTAGTGGTGGGGCTGTTGCTGGTGCGAGACGGACTTCGGGCAAGCGGGAGCGTGTGAGGGACTTCTGTGGCATCTTCTTGGTCAGCAAGCACCTCGGCCATCCATCGCATGTGCGGAATGGCCTCCAGTGCCACTACATGGCTCGTCGCCCATCCAGGCGTGGTGAGCGGATAGAGGCAGTCGGGCGAGGGGCAGGCCAAGAGCGCGGTCCGTGAGCCGAGCAAGCTGTACTCTAGGCCACTCCCACACTCGGGACACCCGCCCTCACTCATTGTGACAGACGGGTATAGTGAGAGAGGGGGAATGCTGGTGACTGCTGGCAGAGTTGGGGGGGGGGGGGGGAGGTGGACAGTGTGAAGTGCTGCCTCTGCGCTTGCCCCCTCCCCGTCCCTTCCTGTCCCCCCTCCACGCTGGATGTGATCAGGATGGGCAGACTCGGGGCGAGTCGCATTGGAACAACTCGGTTTTGGGGAGGGAGGGGAGCAGGCGACACCGGCTCAGAGGCGCTGTACAGGGCGATGTGGTCCGCGTAGAGCTAGTTTACAGATAAATGCTAGTGAGGACAAAGGTAGGCGATGTATGGGATGTGCGATGGGGAGTAAAGGAGGTATGGCTTGAGTGTTGCAGGCAGGACCGAGTGGGAGAGGCCGTGGCGGGGGAGGCCGCGGCGGAGGAGGCCAGCTCTCTTGCTCTCTTTGCAGTTCGTAGGTGCGAGTATGAGGCGGCATTGGGCGGTGGAGCTGGTAGGAGTGCTCTTTCTAGCGTTTGTGTGCGAGGTGGGCGTGTATCAGGCTGCAATCTGGCGGTGTGCGCCTCAGGAGGATCCAGAGACGGAGGTCTGTGAGCCATCGCAGATTCTGGTGGTGAGTGATACGCAGCTGACCGACGGATACTCGTACGCGATGCGCGCACGGTGGGGATGGATTCCAGGCTATGTGATGGTAGAGCAGATACTAGAGTGGGCATGTGACATGTACATTCGGTCCGCGCTGACGGCGGTGGCGTCTGTGGGTCCGCGGCTGGCGGCGGCTGTCGACCTTGGTGATGTGCTCGATGGCGGGCGGTACTACACTGTCGACGAGTGGAAGCGGGGCGTGAGCAGGATCCAAGCTCTGCGGAGCGTTGCTGGCCGCAGCCTGCCGTGGTTCACCGTGCCTGGCAACCACGACGTCGACATCGACTACCGGATGAAGACACATCGGTTCGAGGCGAGCCTCGGGCTCGGGTCGAGGCTCGTGGTTGCCGGCAACATGTCCATCATTCTGCTGAACTCGATGGCGCTGCGGGCGTCGACCCCGAGCGCGCTTCGGATGGCGACCGAGGCGTTTCTGGCATCTGAAGAGCTTGTCCAAGCGCCGGCACCGCGGCTGCTCATGCTGCATCAGCCGCTGTATCGCCCGCCAACGGCCACATGCGGGCCGCTCCGGAATGCCGGCGGCTCGCAAATCCCGTACGTTGTCCGCGGCCGCAACTATGCCACCCAGGCACTTCCCGAAGTTACCGAGCGCATTCTGGACAAACTTGCACCACTCGATGCTGTCTTATCTGGCGACGATCATGAGCCGTGTGTTTATCAGCATGCGGGAGACAAAGAAGCAGGCCCGGTTGAGTACACCCTGCCGACGCTGTCGTGGCTGCAGGGCTCGTTCTCGCCGGGTCTTGCTTTTATCGCCCTCGAGCGCGATGCCGGCAATTGCGCACCCAAGGCTGTCACGGTGGCGTACTGCTTCCTGCCGAATCGATACATCACCCTCGGAGTCTATGTTGCCGCGGCAGCCCTGCTGGCCAAGTTGCGGGTCGACTCTGCCTTCGCCTTTGGGTCACCGAGGGTGAGCAGGCTGAAAAAGACCGACGCCGAGGCTTCCATCAACGAGCGAGGAGTCTCAATCACACGATCACGATGCCTCTTGCTAGGACAGCAGCTTGCTCGATGGGCGGTGTACATGGCCGGGTATACCGGAGCCATGGCGTGCGCCATGGCCGGAGTGGACCGAATGAAGTGAAGCGGCAAAACCTCGTTTTGACGCCAACGAACGGTCACGGGCGGACCAAGCCCAGTCGCAGCCAAAGGTTCCCGAGCCAAGGTCTGGCAGGATCACCTCACTCTGGCGACGCCGGCCATGCACAGCATAGAGGCGGCACGTGAGGCATACGGACGGCGCGGGGCGCCGGGGTACGGACTGGCCAGGCTCATTGCCCGGCTACGGGGCGAGGTGCCGACGGCGGCTAGGACGGCCAAGTACGCGACGACGGGAAGCGGACGGCGGGCGGCGCGGGCGCGGGTGAACGCGCTGCATGACCGCATCAAGGTGTTGGAGCAGACGTTTGACACCAATCTGGAGCGATGGTGGACGCACTCGATAGAGGATACGGGGAGCAGCGGGGCGACGGCCGAAGGGCAGGACGCCGAGGACGCCGCCATTGCACTAACGCTGGCGACCGAGTCTTCGCCGGCGGTACTGGCGCTGCGGTCGGCACGGCGGAGCTCGCGACCGATGACGGCACCGGCGCAGTGTGGTGGTGAGAGCGGAGATCGGAAGAACAGCACGCTGGTGCCACCAACGTCGCCGCTGGCGGCGCGGGCGGTGCATCTGCAGTCGGCGCGGGTGCGGTGGGAGCACGACTTGGCTGATCTGCGGGCGCAGGGGAGCGGCGGCGGGGCCGAGCCCTTTGTCTACGAGCCGTTTTGCAATGTGGCAAACGAGCTGTTTGCGCTCCCGCGGTCGATGCGCAAGTCGCGGTCCATTGTCTCGGTCGCGTCGCGGTCGTCGCTGCGGCCGACCACGCCCGGGCCGGGTGGCAACAGCGGCGAGCGGTCGGTCCGGGTGGCCAAGCGGAGCCACCGACTGTCGCTACTCTCAGCAGCGCCGACAACCACGTTCTGGTTCGACGCGCTCACACCTTCTGATCTCCATGACGAGCTGGAGCTGCTCATTGCGGCGCTGTTTGACGCGGTGCCGCTCCGCAAGGCATGTAGCCTGTTCTTCCATGAGGTGCCGCTGGCATGGACCATGATCCGCGACATTTACGAGTGCGAGGACAAGCTGCGTGCACGTCAGCTCGAGCTCCGCCGCTCGGTCGGCTCTGACACGTACAAGCTGATGACGTCCAAGGCGGCGCGTGCGGCGTGCAGTGATTCGCAAGCGTTGGCTGCAGCCAAGACACGAGTCCGTCAACATTCAGTCCGGCTCCGCATCCTGGAGCTTGTGCGTCTCGAGCGAACCATCATTGACTCCAAGGCGCTCCTCCTCCGCAAGTTCCACCAATGGCGGCACAAGTTCCTCGCCCTTCCTGATCATGCCGAGCTTGTCGAACGGCCACCGACGAGCGGCTCGCAGCGATCACGGACGCCGACCCGTCCGTAGACGTTTGCAGGATCCGGGGATCTGAGCTGCTGCCAGGCTGTATCTGATGTCATGCGGTAGTGGCAATGAAGACAGAGAGTGTTCGTGATGTGTGTGTGAGAGGATGACGAGGGGGCGTTGAGGGAGAGGGAGCCATAGCTGACTCTTCCATGCACAGCCTTGTCCGCCACATTGCATCCATAGCCGTTGCAAATGCAAGAGCAACGCCTTGTGTCCTCCGTAGTGGGTATGCGTGGTCGGGTCGGCGCGCCACGCATGCGCTCACTCGAGACCAAGTGCGGCCGAGCGTGCACCGGGATGTGGGACTAGTGACCGTCTTGCATGCAGTGCGAGTGCCGATGCGGCAGTGGTCAAGCCGGGCATGGTGGGGACTGGGTGGAGTTGGCGGTGATGGCCAGCATGATGCTGATATGGGCGATGATGTACGTGGAGGGAGAGGAGCATGGGTATGCATGCATGCGTTGAGCATGGGTACATGTGTGTGTGTGTGTGTGTGTGTGTGTGTGTGTGTGTGTGTATGTGTATGTGTGCGTGTGTGTGTGTGTTATTAGAGCACTTGTCTCATGGGCAATCAGTCGTCGTCGTCCAAGAACACCCACATGTCCGCCGAGCCACCGTCACCTGCCGTGGTCAAGTCCGACGAGGAATGGAGAGCCGAGCTGACTCCGGAGCAGTACCGCGTCCTGCGCAAGAAGGGTATGGATGTCTATGAGTGTGAAAGGGGGGGTGCAGGTCGTCGGTCGGTCGGTGAGGGAAGGGGACGGCAGGAGGGGGGGTGGGGGGGGGGGGAGGTGGCGTCAGCGAGTGGCGTCGAGCAGAATCGAGGTCCGGTTATACTTGCCCTTGAGAGCCCGCCATGATTATTCCTGTGCGGTGCTGGACCTGCGGCAAGGTATGTTGTGTAGGGTATAGGGTGGGATAAGG